GTTTCCTGACTTGTAAATTCTAGCCATTCTGATTGGAAAACACAGACATTTTTATGTAGAAGAAAATAAAGCCCACACTTAAGCTAACCATCAAAAGTTATTTTACACTTCAATATATTTCATTTTAGTCTTTTTGCCATGCACACATTTTATTTATTGATTTTCTACAGTAGAGTTAGAGTTTTGTATATATTACTTTCACTTAACTTCCTATCATGAGTCTTTCCCACATCATTAAGCCATCTTCATAAATAGAATTTCTTGTGGCTCTTTACTGGTAATGCAAGTTGTTTATTTTTCAAAAATTATAAACACCTATTTACATAGATCTTTCATCTGAGTTTCTGATTTTTTTTTTTTGCTTTAGAAAAGACTCAGGGACACCTGGGTGGTGCAGTCAGTTAAGCAGCCAACTCTTGGTTTCAGCTCAGGTCATGATCTCTGGGTCATCAGATCAAGCCTTGAGTCCCATTTGGGGCTCCACGCTCATAGCAGAGTCTGCTTAAGACTATCCTTGTCCCTCCACCCCTCCCCACCTGGCAAGCATGTGCACGCACGCTCTCTCTCTCTCTAATAAAAAAAAAAAAGAGAGAAAAGATTCGTAAAGTGAAATTATGGAGTAAAATGGCATGTAAATTTTTAAGGTTTTTTGATACATTTAGGAGAATTGCTTTTTGGAATACTAATACCGATTTAATTCCTGCTTACAACGTATGACAAGGCTTAATATGTTTGCCATAAGAGAGATCATACAAATAAATAAGAACATAATGTTCTAATACCAAAATGGGTTAAGAACATGAACACAAAATTTACTAAACTGGAAATTTGTATATCCATGTAAATATATATGAATGATATCAAATTTCATTAGGAATATAAATTACAATAATAAAAATACTATTTTAATTATAATAAACCTTTCTTTGAAAATATTCAAAGGTAAGATGTTAACATTAGGGGAAGCTGAGTAAAAGGTATTAAGAACTCTACTATTTCTGTAACTTTTCTGTAGATCTAAAATTATTTCAAAATAAAAAGTTAAAAATTTACTCATATAGTGGCTGTAGGTGCTTATTCAACTATGTCTTTGTATCATTGATCTCTTACAAATGAGCCACTGTACTCCCAGAAATCTGCATCAGAGCCCACCTAACTAGCTCTTTTCTTGAGTCACCTTCTAGTATTGAAAAATAAGTACAAAATCTATCCAATGAATGCTCTCATTTATTGTACAAGTCTCTGAACCTGCTCTGTATGTTATACACTTTATCTCATTTAATCTTTCCTACAGTGCTACAAAGTAAGCAGTAAAATTACAGTGCTCATTTTACAGATGAGAAAGCTGAGGCCGTAAGTTTGAGTAACTCATTCAAAGTCATATTCTAAAATGCTTTACTTTAATCGATTTCATTTATAAGATATGTCCATTTGGCAAAAATGACTTATATTTGGGGAATGAATGTTTGTCTTTATTTTCAGCTGGATATGGTATTCCCTTTCCAACAGATGAACCTACAGACATTATTCCACGAAGCTGCCAACTAACGACAGATGTTCCACAAGTCACACAGCTGCTAAACATGACTAAACTCCGCCAAACTGAAATAAAATTCGGAGGTCATCCTCTAAGTTCAGCAGAATCAGGTATGCACCAGGCACCTAAATTATAAGCATATTTATTTGAAAGACCAAAAAAAGGGTTTAAAAAAAAAACCCCACACCACAATGATACTTTATAGCTTGAAGTTAAATATTAAGTCACTCTAATATCGACTCATGTCTGTGATAAATCATTTTAAATTTCTCTTTAGCAGCTAAAATATTTTCTGGGTTTTTACATACCATATCAAAACATTGATTAGTCCTCTCCTTTTCCTGTACTCTTCCAGGCCCAGCCAGTTATACTTCCGAAACATCTCTCAAATCTGTCTGCTCCTCTATCCTTTTGTTGCTTTCATTGATCGGGTTCCCACTATCGCTCACCTTAGCCTCCCAGTTAATCTACCCATTGCTGTCAGAATTATCTTTCTGATAATAGAAATAGAAATGTGATCGTGTCTCTCTTCGATTAAAGATCTTTAATGCCTTTCCCACTATCTTAGAAGACAAAATGAAAAAACCCTTGGGAATTCACACAAAACCAACCTCCCCTATCCCAACCTATTCCAGAGTTTCATCTCTCATTCCCCATGTGCGATTTTTTGACCATGCTGTGGGCTTTCACACGTTCATATTTGGGGATTGCTGTTTCTTGGTCTAAAACAGCTTCCTTGCCTTTCTGCCTGTAAACACTCCCAATTCACTTTTCTAGATCCAACTCAAATGCTACCTCTTCTGTATGGTCTTTCCTAATTCTGACAAGCACTGTTCCCTTCTTTCCCTGACTTTTTTTTCCTTTCTTTTCTTTTTTTTTTACAATACTTTTTAATATGTCTGCATTTCCCAATAAAGTGTGACTTCCTCCAAAAGTAACACTGTACCTCATTCTTCTATATCCCTAGCATCTAACACAGTGTTTACCACAGTGTTTGCAGGCCAGGGGCTGCAAACTCAAATTACTATGGAGGCCAGTCAGATAACATAATGAATAAAGTGGGCTGGATGCCTGGATATTTGACACATAGAAACATTTTTTACTCAACAGTGAGCCTTATTGGGAGTGGAGGGGGTCATTAGGGGAAAGGAATCAGGTAGGGCTTCAAAGAATTTTCTCTACTGTTAAAGCAGTAACATTAACAACTATGCAAATGATAGAATAAATGGTAGTTAGTACTCAGTCCCTGTGAGGGAGCAATAGGGAGTGATGAGGACTGTAGCAAACTAGAAGTTCATTCTCCATCTAGAAGGGATACTGCAATTCCATTCTAGCCAAGTGTTGCCTTGCAAGAATTCATGCACAGTCTCACCAGATCTTCCTTTTTTTTGTTTTCAAGAGGAGCTAGGTAGTTCAATGTTTATGATGAATCTTCCAATTCTAAAATATTGTCTAAAGTCTAAAATTTTTTTAAAACATTCTATAAGCCTAACAAACCATGTCAGGGCTACCAGTTTTGTACCTCTGTAATAGATACCCATAACTCTTGACCAAATGAATGAATAGTATTGTACAAATTAAGAAACCTAATATTATTTAGATGAGTGAGTCTCAACTTCCTGTTTGTTAGAATCACCTGGGACATTTTATAAATAATTTATGTAAAAAAAAAATTTTTTTCCTAATGCCTATGCTTCATCTCGAGATTCTGATTTAATTGGCCTTGGATGGATATTTTTTAAATGCCTTCAGTGATTCTAATGTGCAGCAGGGTTGAGAACCACTGGATCACTTATCCAAACAAAAGTCCTGTGGCTTGGATGACACTCAAAAACACAGAAGTAATCCCAAGGAAGGTAAAATGATGGTCGTAATAAGGCACTTATGGAGGAAGAAATAGGTCTTGAAAGTATTCAGGAAATACTTGTGTATGTTTTTATTATAAATAAATATAGGATTTATGGAAGTGTAAGGTGGTGCAGAAGACTGAGCAAAGACAAGGAGACAGCAAAATGCATGGATGAGTTTTCTGAGGAGTTAGTAAGAGGAATGGCCTAGTGGGCAGAATGGCTGGGTCAGAAGAATACAAGAAGAGTGCCTCCTGCTCCTAAAGTAGAGACACAACAAAGCCTTTCTTAGGAAGATAAATTTGACATCAGGAGTCAAGATGAATTTTTAAATCAAGTGAGACCAGAGATTAAGAATTACAACTCAGATGTCTTTGCAGCCATCTGGGCATAAAATGTCAGTGGCTCCATGGTAAGTGATGAGCCTAAGAGATGCTGCCGGGGAAACACAGGCAGGACTTGTTGATTCTCAGATAACAGATGGGGAAGAGAGTGGGGTCAAAGTTTGAGAGGTCAAAGTAGAAGCTGGAGAAAAGAGAGAGCTATGAGAAAATGAGTGAGTTATAGAAATGAACTGTTTTACTCTATGCTGTATTTATTCTTGGTGTATTTTTTATGATTTTATTTATTTGAGAGAGAGCACACGCGAGTGAGCAGGGGGAGGGGCAGAGGGAGAGAATCTTAAGCAGACTCCCCACTGAGCTTGGGGTCCAAGCCAGGGCTCAATCTCATGACCCTGAGATCACAACGTGAGCCAAAACCAAGAGTCAGAAGCTTAACCCACGGAGCCACCTAGGCGCCCTTCTTGGTGTATTTTTTTATGTCAATCCTCATCAGCATTACATGTCCTAAATTGTATATTCCTGGAGAATTGGGACCTATTTTGTAACTTCTTCAGTATAAACCCAGGCAGGGGACTATGTGTAAGTAGACACTATAATTCTAAACTCTCGATTATGAAATTTCCAAACTTCCAGAAAAGTAGAGAGAAGACATAAAAACCCCCATGTCCCCATCACCTATTTCCACAATTGCCAACTTTAGGCAGTACATTTTGGTTGCACAGGGCTTACCTTCTTCTTCTTTTATTTTCTTAACATATATTGCATTATTTGTTTCAGAGGTACAGATCTGAGATTCAACAGTCTTGCACAATTCACAGCGCTTACCAGAGCACATACCCTCTCCAGTGTCTATCACCCAGTCACCCCATCCCTCCCATCCCACCCCCACTCCAGCAACCCTGTTTGTTTCCTGCAATTAAGAATTCCTCATATCAGTGAGATCATATGATACATGTCTTTCTCTGTTTGACTTATTTCACTCAACATAATACCCTCCAGTTCCATCCACATCGTTGCAAATGGCAAGATTTCTTTTTTTTTTTGATGGCTGCATAATATTCCATTGTGTGTGTGTGTGTGTGTGTATATATATATATACCACATCTTCTTTATCCATTCATCTGTCGATGGACATCTTGGCTCTTTCCATAGTTTGGCTATTATGGACATTGCTGCTATAAACATTGGGGTGCACTTACCCCTTCAGATCACTACATCTGTATCTTTGGGGTACATTTTTTAAGGAAACACACGAAAATTAATAAACTTCAGGAACACGGACTAGTAGAGGTAGGATCAGGAAAATAAGACTTACTCCTCATATCTTCCTCTGTTAGAGAATTGTAACTTTCTAAATATGTTCATGATTTGTGGTGTCAATAGATATATATTATGTTAGAGCAACTATGAGAAATGTTTAGTTTCTTCTGTATACCTTTCTGTCTTTTGAAAAGCCCAGAAAATTGCTATAAAATTAAAATATATTTCTTTACTTAATGTCAGTATTCTCATTTAAAATATATAATGGGAAGGAAATCCAAAATTAATGACAAAAGAAAATCTTTTAAGTATATAGTTGGCATATTAAACTTGTTTATTTATGATATAATAGGGGAATATCTATGACAATCTATACCGTATTAGTATCAATTATGCTCACATACATTTTTACAAATAGTTCACATAGTGATGAACATGGGGCTATAATCATCCAATAGCCCCCAAGACACCCTCTCTGTAACATCACCCTGCTTTTATTTCCATCACAGCTCTTATCCTTACCTGATACGTTCTTTTTACTTAATTGTTTGCTTATTGCTGTCTCTCCAAGGGGAATGTGAGCTTCAAAACTGCAGGGGTCCTATTTATTGTTGTATCCTTAGCACCTAGCTCAACACTTACCAGGAACTCAATAGATATTTGTTAATTAAGTGATCAAGTGAGTGAATGAAATGCTAGCCATATAATTTGAGCAGGTGAGTATATTAAGCAGCAAATCATCATCACCATCACCACTAATGTTTAGTGACTTTTTGCTATATCCTTTACACAGTGTCAGGTTTCTCCAGAGAAACAGAACACACACATATATACAATTTACATATAATATAGGCCTTGATAGATCATTGCCATTATTTGGTTTTAGAATATATATAGAGAGAGAGGGAGAGAGAGAGAGAGACCTATCATAAGGAATTGGGTCATGCAGTTATGGAAACTGAGAAGTCCCAGGACCTGCAGTGGTCAAGTTGGAGGCCCAGAAGAGCCAATGGTGCAGTTCCTGTCCAAATCCAGGAGAGCCAATAGTGAAAGCACCAGTCTGAGGACGGCTAAAGACCAATGTCCTACCTTAAGGGGTCAGACAGAGGGATCAAAGTCTCCCTTCCTCCACCTTTTTGTTCTATTCAGGCCCTCCTTAGATTGGGTGATGAGATCCACCTACCTTGGGGTGGAATTTACCAATTGAAATGTTCATTTCATCCAGAAATGTCCTCACAGTCATACTCAGAGCAATGTTTAATCTAGGAACCCTGTGGGCCCAGTCAAGTTGATATATAAATTTAGCCATCACACATCATTTATCCCATTTAATCCTCTCATATACCTTTTTGTGTAGAAACTATCATAATCACCATTTTGTAGATAAGGATAGTGAGGCTCACAGAGACAAAGTAATTAGTGAGTGGTAGACCTAGGATGTGACCAGGCAGTCTGGTTTGAGAGATGAATTCTTAACTGCTTACTCCCATTAAGCAATTTCTAACTACTTGTTTTAAGGATTTTCTTCTGGGGAACCTTCTTGTGTTATACGAGACTGTGCTATTTCCAAAACCAAATGATGGAAATTATCTACCAAAGCCTATATTATATTTAAGCTCCACTCATTCAAAATGGAAAGTTTTCTTGAGATAATAAAAT